ATTTCTTTATTCGTTAGAAGTGATATCGTTCAGTGTTTTAATATTAGAGTATCTATCAATCTACTCTATATTCGACTTTTGTTCATAATATTCTATATTTTACTTCTTATATAATTTTACTTTTGTATTATATTGTATTTGTATAGATTAATTTACGTCTATTATAATAATATTATTATTATTGATTGTATTTATTTCAACTTACTATTCTTTAATATATCATTTCTTATTGAAGTTATACTTCTTTTGCCGCGTTTGGGAAAAAATGATGAGAATGAATTTTTACGATGCATGCGCATTCTGACCAAAACAAACTTTCGAAAGCGCGTCTTCCGGTATTTGCGATACGCGGGCAAAGCGATTTCAAATTTAYAGCATGAAGTTATTCGATTTATCACCCTTACATTTAGTGTGGATTGATATCTATATTCTAATATTTTTTCAATACTAAATAACAAGCGTGGCTTAAATRGGATTTTATTAAGGATTTGCGTAGCGCTCAACGTGTTAATATTGAAATTTTCTTTTCGTCGCGAGTTTATTGTAAAATTTTACRTCCATAATTTTCAACCAGTCTATGTCTCGTTAGCATTTACTTACTGCAGAGAAAATAAAGAAAATTCATTGTATGTATGAGAAATAATGTGTAATCACTGCATCCAGGAAACAAATCTTGACCTGAAATGTAAGAAAACTTACTCGAAAAGAACGTCAGAAAAATATAAAACTAATAATAAATTTGATTTGTCTAGGCAAGAAATAGAAACATTTTATGCAATAATTTCCTAGCTTATTTACTATAAATTATTAACAGACGAGATATTAAAAAACGTAATAAAAATACACAACAAACAGGACAAGAAAAAGACTTCGGAATGAATATAAATTTTTCTTARACATTAATGTAACATACGTCTACAAATGGGAAAAACTATGTATCTTATCTTGAATAATTAAACCTAATACACATATTTATGCAGTAATGCAAAATAAAGTCATTTCAATCTGATAATTTATCGATAATTTATGTAATAGGTATCTATTAGCATAGTAGTATAAAAATGAATAATACTACATGTAAAATGTAATTGCCAGTTAGCTTAAACACTAAACCACAAAATCAACAATATAAAATAACCTGTTGAGCTGTAAGAAAATTAATCGATACCATAATTAACGGAGTAGCTGATCTAATAGCAATAAATATACCTCCTATAAGATTATAAATTTTATATATTTAACAGAAATAATATTGTTTTCTTTTCTTAATATAATAAATTATTAATATATATAATCACAGTTACGTTAACCTCGCCCTAACAACTATTTGTTTATTTATAAAATCACACGTACTAAAATCTGAACTCCTGAACACCACCGTCCCCCTCGTGGAGAATTATCGTACTTGCTATTTTCTCATTTTTCACAACACAAATTCAGCGAAAACGCATATTTCGATTGTCCTCCTTGTATCTAGACTTCGTGATCTCAATCGTAAATCTAATTTAAAAAAAAAAAGACAGTACCACCAACCATTTTTCTTTGTACAGTATCTGCCGATGGTGCGACTTTAACGATGAAGGATATTTTGTTCATAACTTCTCGGTCATCTTGTTTCGACGCAAATTCAACTGAAACTCTGTACATATCGCTACTATAGTTGTCCCCCTTAGCCGTCGCCGGTTTTGAAAATATATCGATCACACGGATCGAATTGTCATTTTTCGCCTTCCGCAACATATTTTCCAAAAACTCGCGGCTCAGCCATAACAGTGTCTCTTCGGCCATTTCTGAAATTAGAAATGAAATCGGAGAATTTCATCAACAAATCATTGTTCTTTTCGTAGTGTTAGGAAATGTGAAAACGATTCTTTACAATAACTTATTATCAGCAACGGAATATATAATTTTCTTTCAACGCTTTTGCTCCTAAACGAAGTATGCGAATCAATCCATTTTTTCGATATCAGTTTTTGTATATGTTACGGTCAATGTATATATTCCGATAAATCTATAAAATGCACAGAAGGTTTTGATTATTTATGAAATGTGTTTCAATTTGTTATTTTTAGATCTAATAGAGGGGAGACAGAGGAAGCAATGAAACAAACCACAATAGGTGTATGTTAGTATGGTTATAAAATAATCTTCACTTTCTGTACTGTACATGCGTTTTCTCAACTGTCTGAATATAAGAAGGTAATATAGAAAAAGATACGAATTCAATTATTATTATAATAAATAAAGTTATTATTGTTAAAATAAATTTATTATTTAAACTTATTAAAATTGTAGCTAATTTAATTAATTAAATAACTTATTTAAAGTTATTATTTTATATATTAAATATATATTTAGTCCAGTCAATAAAGGAAAACTTGGAAAATTTAGCTAGATTGGGAAAACTTGATATAATGGTAATTCGACGACGCTAAATCGAATGGTGCTATTTTTTTTGCCATCAGATCCCAAGGTAATGAAAAAAAGGGTAAAAAAGGGTAAAAAAGCCGTATCTTATAATCTAGGCATTGAATCAAAAAAAGTTTCAAACTAAAGTTGTGTTAAATTAAAAAATACATAAAAAATGTTGTAAGGTGTATCTTCGTATTTGCAAAAATAAGCGAGAAAATGAAGGTGAAAGGTAATTGTAAGAGAGGGGG